TTGACTCTTTCCATGTGCACATTTAAGGATCTTTTCCTTACGTTTGATTGAGGAGAGCTTGATGATCATATGTCTTGGTGACGATCACTTTTGGTCAAGCCTGTTGGGAGTTCTGTGCCCCTCCTGGATGTTGCTTCCCAATTCTTTCTCTAGGTTAGGGAAATTTTCCCTTATTATTTCATTAAATACATTTTGAAACCCAGCTTCTCTTTCTGCATCTTCTGGGACTCCCATAACTCTTATATATGGCTTCTTAATGGTGTCTTTCAATTCTTGAATACTTTTTTTAGCCTGATCCAGCTCTGCTTCCAGCTTTTTGTTTGCTTTCCCCTGATGACAGGAAATATCTTCTAATTTTGAGATTCTTTCTTCAGCTCAAAGACTGCTCAGAGTCTTGAATGTTTGCAATGCTACCAGCCACATCACTTACCCACTCCTTTTTCATGGTACCTGCTGCCATTAAATTTACCAAAAATTTGGTGACTCCTAGAAATTGTCTGAAATTTTTTTTAGCTGTTTACATAGTTGATCAGGATGGGAAGATCTATGCTAGGGAGAAGTGGGTGTGACCATTGCTTCCAAACTTTCTATTTCTTCTTCCCATTTCTAGGGAAGGGTGGAAATAAGGGGAGAAGCCACACCCAGCCTCCCAGTACCCGAAGATGGGCAACAGCCACCCGATATTAACTCAGGGTCACAATGTGGCGCATGCGCTGAGGGTTCTGCACAGGTGGATTCGATAGTTCTGAAATGCTGTTGATCTTGCCAATCTATGGATGCGGAATCCCTTCCAATGTCCATTGGCTAACACAGTTGACCTTAGAGTCTCCATTCACCCAGATATTGCTGTCACCATTTGGCTTGGGTAGTTGTCCATATGTTTTGTTTTCCATTCTCTGCTATGGTACTGGATGTCCTCTGCAGGCCCCAATGGGCTACCATATCCTCTATGTGCACCATGGTCTGCCATCCAGCACTCCAACCTTTACACTGCGGAGGACCAGTTCTCCTAGGTAGGCTCATGGACCTGGGCCAAACGACCCAGACCAAGCCGGACTCAGCCCCTACCATGGAGGTGGGCCCAAGAACTGAGCCAGGTGACCCCAGCCCCGCCAGACCCCCACTCTTGGGGCTCATGGTTCTAGACCCAATGCCGTAGGCAGGTCCATGAACCCAGGCTCAGAAACCCGTATCCCACCAGAACCCCCCACCCCTGAGGCTCACAAATCCAGCATCCACTGCACAGACAAGCCCTAGTGCACAGCCCAGGTGACCCAGGCCCTATCAGACCCCCATCCTCAAGGCTCACAGACCCAACACTCACCATGAAGGTGAGCCAGGCAACCCAAGCCCTGCCAGATTCCCCACCCCTGGGGTTCATGGATCCAGGACTCACCACATAGGTTGGTTCACAGACCTGGGTGGGGCAACTCAGGTCCCACCAGACTCTCCACCCCTGAAGCTCACAAATCCAATAACCACTGCACAGGCGGAGTGAAGATCTTGGGCCAGATGACTCAGAACCACCAGACCCCCAACCCCAGGGCTCACAGATCTGGTACCTACTGTACAGGCAGGCCCAAGGATGGGGCCAGCCAACTTGGACCCCACTGGACACCCACCTCTGAGACTCACAGATCCAGCATGCACCTTGGAGGTGGGCCAAGGACCAGGCCAGGTGACCAGGGCCCCACCACATCCCCAGAATGAAATAGTTCTCACCTTGGCATCCATCAGCAGGTGCTTCAGCCTGGTTCAATCCAACCTGCCCCCAATTCCAGCTTATGCTGCTTGATGCTATGGCCTTGTCTTTCCCAGTCAGCCCCCTGTCCTGGCTCAAGTATGAACTGACTGGTGTTGTGGCCCAGCCTGCCCCCTCCTGAACCCCATCCTGGTTCCCAGATCTGCCAGTGGATGTTATGAACTGGCCTACCCGGGCCCACCCCCAGACTTGACATATACATGCCAATGGGTACTGTAACCTGGCCTGGTCTGGGCTGCCCCTTGCCTTGGTTCTAGCACATACCTGCAGGGATTACAACATGACAAAGGAGTTCACCAAATTCCTCTATTCGGTCTCCTCCCAGTGGCAGATCTTGCCTACACAGGTGGATCCTTGACCCAGGTTCACCCTGTCCACCTCTTGTCCCGACAGAAATGGTGTCCTTGCCCAATCAGCTCATACCCTTTCTGGTTTTCACTGTTGGGTGTTGCAACCCAGCCACACCTGGTCCATGCACAGACACAACTTTCACACGGTTCAGCGGGAGCCAAGACCTAACCCAGCCTGTTCTACACCCACCCTGATTCTCACGAGTACCAGTTGGAGTCTAGCCCAGTTTGGTGCTCCCTAGACCCAGACCACACCTGTGCTGAGAGAGACTGTAGCCATGTCAATCCAACCCAATGCCCCATTCTGGTTCCCGTGTTTGCCACTGGGGAATTCCAACCCAGCTGGGGCATCGACTTAGCTCCAAAACCAGGCCTGTGCTAAGCAACTGCTGATTCACGTGGGTGAGCCCACATATTCCCCCACAGATTCTACTGTTAGACCCGATTCACTCACATGCTTGTTGGCTTCAGGGCCCAACCTCACAGCACGTGTTCCAGTTCCGACACTTGCTGGTGGGTTCCATGTTCAAGCCCTTTAAGTAGAGTGGCCTTGTCCGTGGAAGTCCCTCTGAAGTCATTCATCAATAGAACATGAAAACTTGGCTTCCTGCTCACTCACTCCTGTGCCATCCCCTAGACGCCCTGTAAATCCACACCCCTAGGCCCACAGAGCACATCGCTGGGGGCCTGAGGGCTTTGCCCAGAACCATGGGTGCACCGGCTACGGCCATGTAGCCTTATAGCTACACAGCCACACAGTCACGCAGGCACATAGCCACGCAGCCAAGCAGCCATGCAGCCAGGGGAGCAAAGCTCCTGAGCCTCCAACCCAGACCCACTCAAGATCTACACACAGTATGGCTGCCGTTGATGGTGAAAATTCCAGAGCCTCAACCCCAACCAGCCCAAGATTTGCCCACCACATGGCAGTGGTGGACAGAGCCAAAATCTCAAGCCTCAAACCTGCTCCAGGGCCCGGCGCGGTGGCGTAGTGGTTAGGTCCTCGCCTTGCACGCCCAGGATCCCATATGGGCACCGGTTCTAATCCTGACGGCCCCTCTTCCCATCCAGCTCCCTGCCTGTGGCCTGGGAAAGCAGTCGAGGATGGCCCAATGCTTTGGGGCCCTGCACCCACGTGGGAGACCCGGAAGAGGCTCCTGGCTTGGGATCAGCATAGCATCGACCATTGTGCTCACTTGGGGAGTGAATCATTGGATGGAAGATCTTCCTCTCTGTCTCTCCTCTCTGTATATCTGTCTTTGCAATAAAAATAAAATAAATCTTTAAAAAAAAAAAAAAAAACCTGCTCCAAACCCAGTTCCCCAGGCCACAGCCACGCAACCAGGGGGCAAATCTCCCAAGCCTCCAATCAAAATGCACTCAATATCTGCTCACAGCATGTCTGCCGTAGACAGCGAACATTCCCGAACCCCAAGCCCAGACCAGCCCAAGATCTGCCCACTGCATGGCAGAGGTGAACAGAGCCAAAATCCCAAGCCTCAAGCCTAACCCAGCTTCAGTTCCCCTAGCCGCAGCCACGCAGCCACGCAGCCACACAGCCACGCAGCCACACAGGCAGGGAAGCAAAGCTCCCAAGCCCCTGGCTTAGATCCACTTGAGATCTGCCCCACTTGTCCGAAATTTCTAGTCCATAGGAAAGGTAACTTTCTAACAATGCCCTATGTGTACAGCAATAGATACTTTCTCAAGTCATCTCATTACAGAAAGATTTTAAGTTGTAAAACTCCTCCTATACATACTGTTACAAGTAACAGCCAACCCCGTGGTCAACTGGCTCACTTAATGAAAACTTACTAACTCATTATGGCTTAGCCTCCAGTTTTGACCAAGGCTACCTTACCTACATTAGTTATCTTAGCCAGTTTGTGCTCAGGCTGCCCTGTATCGTGGTGATCATTGTCTGCTAAGCAATCAAGTCTGCATGTTTCTTCCATCATGCTAAGTAAGAAAGAGAGTCCCCACTCTCACTGTATCTTAAGTTACCTGCCATTTGTGAAGCAATCCCAAGCAAACAAAACAGGGCTAGGGAGTTACAGGACACTGGCTTATCAAGAAACCATCAGCTATTGCTGACTTAGTACATACCGTGTGCTGCCTTTTCACATTCCATTGGCCACTTCAAAATACAGGGAACAGAGGACTTCAAATTGGTTGTGCAAAATGGAACTGAAGGAGTAGTTCATTTTGATGCAAAAATGTCTGAAATCCATGCATACTTCAAGTATTACTTTTAAATGCCATTTTCCATTCACTTCCTGAAGCCCGCTCGTATATTCTGGGTACTTTGTGCATGATGATGCAAAAAGGAAAGGTTTGAGGAAAGGTAGGGCGCCAGCAGACACGTGAGCAGTCACACAAGAAGGCTTCCTGAAGATGTGTACAGCCAGGCGGGCGCGGCCCCAGCGCTGGCATCCATCACAGGGCAGCCGTGTGGCTCCCGCAGCACAGGGTACCCCGTGGAGCCTCCTCGCAGGGCGCCAGGCTGTGCCACGCCGGCCTGAGAAGCCCACGCAGGCAGCCGTGCTCCCGCAGGTCTCGGGGTACACGCGCCTCAGCACAGGGCACCCCGTGGCGCCTCCTCGCCGGGCGCCATGCTGTGCCACGCGGGCCTGAGAAGCCCACGCACACCGAGGCTCTCCACACCGCCCACTGCCCGCAGTGTCAGGATGCTAGCGGCGGGGCCGGGGAGCCGCAGCCCCACGCCTCAGGAAACGCGCAACGCCTCTGCCCCACGCACTCCACGTCGCGCACAGGCGGAAGCGGAAGCACCGGCAGCCGTAGCCATGGAGACGCGGAGGGGCGGTACCTCTCGCAGGGCGCGACCCTTGACCGCCGGCCGAGGCTGCGTCAGAGGCGCCGGCCGGCGGAAGCGCTCGGGCGACGGATCGGTGGCCGCGGGCAGCCGGCGGGTGGTGACCATGGAGGGGCTGCCGTCCGGCGGGACGGGCGCCGAGCCTTCGGGGACTGCGGACTCGGAGGTGGGCAGGCGGTGGCAGGGCCGCGGGACTCGCGGAGCCCCGGCCCCGAGGGCGACAGCCCCCGCCCCCTTGGCTGGTCGCTCCGGGGGGCTGTCGTGCACCTGATGCCCGGGGGAGGTGTCCGCTCCCTGGGGTCCGCGCATCCCGGTTGGAATTTCGGGGTTTATGACACCTGTTTTTGTTGTTTTGTTTTGGTTGGCAGGATCCTGCTCCGGATGGGACGGCCGCGCCAGCCACTCCCGGGGGCGGCAAGTCCAGGGTGAGGAGCGGAGCGTCCTGGGGTTGCGGGCTGATGGGCTGCAAAGCGTGGGCAGCCCAAGGGGCAGAGCGTCCGGGCGGTTCTTGGGGTTCCTGATACGGAAAGACACGTTTTGTTGACTTCCTGATCCTGGTTAGCGCTGCCCAGAGATCCTGCAGTTGATCAAACATTACACAGAGCAATATAATGTGTGAAAACTTGGTTTGGGTGGAATACAGGGATGGAATCAGAGGACGCTGTTGTTTGGGCTCCACTTCCCACCCGAGAATCGGGTAACTTTATGGATCCTATATAATGTTTAGCATTCAATGATTCCGCAAGATAGAGATTTACTGCAAAAATCTGTTGCTTGTATACTGAGTTTTAGGCACTTGGCCAAGCACTCATTTTCTTTAAGCTTTATGATAACCGTGAACTAGAGGTGGTGGTTCCTCATTTACAGATGAAAGCAGTGAGCCCACAGAGGGAAATTTTCAAAAAGCTTCATTCTTCAACCGAAGCATTAACACCAGTGTGATTCGTGTTGTTGTCGCTGTGGTTGTACTGAAGCTTTTTGACGTGGCCCAAAACTCCTTTCACTGTCCAATAGAATGAAATGTTTTTATGGCTTCCGGGAATCTTCAGTAGCGTTAGTTCAAATCCCAGAATTTTAAAGTTAAATCAAAAACCTAGCAGCAGTGTTTTGTGAGGACATACGTGCTGTTTTTCTTTCCACAACTAATTTTTGCATCTTTATAATCTTAGTAGATGCGTAACTGATAATTACTGAGTTGAAGTTGTATTTAAGTGTTGTGGTGTTTGGTTCATGTGAAAATCTGTTTTTAAGCAGACAGTTTTGTTTCTTTAAGTGGTATGCTGCACATGTGGGTTCTAACAGGGTACTAACACGACTCCACATCTTTCAGCTGGAAACTTTGCCCAAGGAAGATCTCATCAAGTTTGCCAAGAAGCAGATGATGCTGATACAGAAAGCCAAGTCCAGGTGTACAGGTACTGGATCGGAATGACTGATCTTAACCACACTGTCTTTATAACTATTTAAAATGGTAGTTCCGTAATAGTACCTTAGCGAGTTTTGGTTTTCCAGAGATTCCAGATATATCTAGAGACTACTTTGTTAATTATCTTTTATTTCTGGCTGCAGTAGTTATTGAAATAAAATCAAAGAGGGGGATTGAAAAATGCGTGTTGAGCCCTTGCTATTCAAGCAGCTGATGGCAGATACAAATACTGCTTCCCCTTTGCCTCATCTTCCAAGTAATACGAGAATCAGTAATTATAAAATGTGATTACACACCTAATGCAAAGCTAGGTGTTCCTTTAAGATTGCATAGTGATATTTACAGCTAAATTAATAGGTCTGAGATTTGCTTCAACTTTAAGATGAATAAAAAAAGAGGAAGGAAAAAGTACAGGTTGGGGTGAAATCTATCCTGTCATAATTGCTAGAACAAGGTGGTGCATTCATGGGGATTGATTATACTGGTCTCTTTTTGAAGTTTTTGATAGTAAAAAGGAAAAGAAAATGTAACACTTGGCTGGATGGAACACTGTCTCACACTGTGTGCTTCTTCTGCCTTATAGATTCAGGTTTTTTGGGGGCGGTTGGCTTTTGGTTTTTTAATAATTTACCAGTTTTGTTCTCTGATTTCTAAGCTGGAATCTTTTGTTAATTGTTTAGAACTGGAAAAAGAAGTTGAAGAACTCAAATCAAAACCTACTGCTGGAGGAACTGATGATATTATTCAGGTAATAATAATTGTGAATATAGCTTTGTGTTTTATTCATTGAGAGGAAAGTGTAATGGTAAGCATGCAGGAGCTGTCAGCCTACCAGAGATTACCCGGCTCTGTGTCCCATTCTCCCACGCTTACTCCAGCTTTGGTTAAGTTCTAGCTTACTTTAAAAAGCCAGTTCATGCTATCTGGTTCCTTCCTGTCTGAAATGAGTCCTCTCTGCCCTGCTTCCCGTGTGTGCTCGGTTTCTGCCTTGCTCTTCCCCGTCCGCTCAGCCATCAGGACTCTGATGGCTTCTCGCCCTCTGGCCTCTCTGTACACGCACGCATGCGCACACACCCTCTGCGTCACTGTAAACCAGATCCCTTCCTGGGGTGGATTGGTGATGTCTCTGGTGTTCTCGCCCTCTGCCCTCTCTCTCTCTGCACACGCACGCATGCGCACACACCCTCTGCGTCTCTGTAAACCAGATCCCCTCCTGGGGTGGATTGGTGATGTCTGGTGTTCCTGCCTGACTTCACTGATGCTTTAACTGTCCCATTCTCTTTGTTGTCTGCGTGTATCAGTCACCAGGACCACTGTTGCTCTAGGTATTGCTGCAGTGCACCTCTTGTAGGGTTTTGACCCTAAGTAGGGCAGCAACCTCAGTTCTTGTCTCACAGGAAGGAATTTTCATGCAGACACAGTTTAGTTTTAACGCAAAATTTACTTGAAAAGCTGAGAAAAGGAGCTCCCGTCCTAGTGACGGGAGAGGGTTTTGAGATAGAAAGAACCCTTGCCCCTGCCTTAGTGGCATGAGGAAGAAAAAGAGAGATAACCTAGACCTGTGCCATAGTGGCAGGAGGAAAAGTGGAAAAGAAAGACCCATATCAGTGGTGGGGAAGGCATCTTTTCAAGGTTCATCTCAAAGGTGCTTCTCCATGAACAAAAGAGAATTCCTGGTTGCCATGGTACCTGGCCCTGGGACAAAGGGCCCAGAAAGGTGTCACCAGGCAACTTCCTTGGTCCCTTTCTAATGATAAAGAGGCCAGTCTGAGGCCCTCCCCCTTGGCCTCGGCGACAGACAGAACTGGGCTGACACTTCAGGTGGGGAATTGGTATGTTAATGTCACCTTTGTCTCTTGGGGAAGCATGTTCTTGATATGCTTAAATATGCACTTGTCTCCGGGAGAGACGTGCACTGGTGAATCCAAGACATGGTGGGGAAAATACCCTTTTGTATTTGAGGGAAAAAAAATGATGACTTGGGGACCCAGAATACCCTAAGTGCCTACCCCTCTAACCCCTCTCCCATGCACTCTTCCCAGTCTAACCCCTCTCCCATGCCCTCTTCGCATCCGCTGATGTGGCTTCCTCTGCTGTCTGGGGCCCGTGCGTCTCTGCAGTCTCTCGGGCAGGTTGTGCTTGTCCTAGGCCTGCTGCACAGTTCTGGAGCTGACTTCCGTAACGATCCTCTGACTTTCTTCAGCTCTTTGTTGTATTGGACTTCCTTGGTTATTAACCTTCTAATTTTGGGAGCGCGTGCTCTTCCGTGGATTCCTAAAAATGAACCCAAAAGAGATTTTTGTCTTGCACTTGAAATTGCCTTTGTTCTGTTATCATGCTTAAGTGATAACTGTATTGGGTATAGAGCTCTTAAGTGTCTCTATATCTGTTAAATATTTGTATGATTTTGCAGAAATAGTTCAAAGGGAGGCAGTTCTAGGTCAACCTGGATGCCGTCAGCACCTTGACCTTTTTTTGGGCACCTGCATCCTCTCTCTTCCTGGGCGTGTCTGTCTGTCTGTGGAAGAAGTAGGCGAAGAGGGAAGGGCTGATGATGGAGAATATGCCACGGAACTTCCTCAGCTGCTCATCTAGAATTTTATGTTTACTTTCTGGCTTTGTTTTGCCCAAGAAATGTCACTTTGCTACCATTACACTGAAACTTTTATGTTGATGCTAAACTGAGTTACTTTTTTTTTTTTGAGAATCAGAAGCCAGAAATCCCCCATTCCTTGGTTCACTGGCCAGATGCCTGAAGCAGCTGGGGGCTGAGTGAGGCTGAGCTGGGAGCTGGAATCTTAATTGCCTTCTTCTGTTATCACGCTTACGTGATAGCTGTAATGTGACATAGAAGTCTAGATTTTTTCTGTGTCTGTTTTGGTTCTGTTACACAATAGAAGGGTGTTTTTTGGTTTTTTTTTTTAATATTATTTTACAGAAGTAGTTCAGAGGTTAGCACTTCTAGAAGTAATGTGGACAAGAAAGGCTCTGTTACTTGAGCTCTTGTCACCTTCTGTGCCTTAGAGTTTGCGTTAGCGGAAGCCAGAGTCACGAGCAGAGTCAGATCTGAAACCCAGGCACACCAGTACGGGTTGGAGGCATCCCAAACCGAATCTTGAACCACTACACCCAACTCTAATCCTCAGATGCTTAATTCCAGTGAACTCATTGAAATCTGAATGTTTGGGGCCAGTGCTGTGGTGTAGCAATGAAGCTGGCATCAGAGGTGCCATGTGGGTGCTAGTTTGAGTAGCAGCTACCCTGTTTCCCATCCAGCTCTCTGCTAATGTGCCTGGAAAAGCAGAGCAGGCTGTCCCAAACGCTTGGGATCCTGCACCCAGCTGGGATACCTTGATGAAACTCCTGGCTCCTTGCTTCGGACAGGCCCAGCTCCTTCCATTGTGGCCATGAGCCAGCATGTTCTGTTAAGTTCCTGAGAAACTATGTTTATTCATTTTTCTATGTAGCTCAGATGCTACCAGTTTCTCATACCCAACTTAGCCAAGTGTCCTTTGAAAGCTTTTTTTTTTTTCATTTTAGTTTTAACTTCATTAAAAGGGTATCATGTTTATATTAGGACTTTTTTTTACTTTTTTTCCCCCCTGTGTCATTGTATGTCACCATTGATGTTAACTTGTTCGTTCGTGGACTGTACTGTTGAAGGTCACTGCGGTTGTGCCAAGGTTGATGCATCAGAATACAGAGCGCTAAAATTATCATAGATACCTTCTCTGTAAATTGTACAAAGATTCTCATCGGTAACTAAAGGGGCTTACATCAGAAGTTACAAGTTCAATTTCAGAAGATAGCATCATACCGTTTTATAAAGTTTTTGAAATAATGTACACTTTCATCAGCAATGGATTCATATACGCTCAAGCCACTCAGCATAAGGCATCCATTTTAATTTTTGCAAATCAAATGGTTGTAAATCTTTTTTAAAAATAAATAAATCTTTAAAAAAAACTTTTTTAAAGATTTATTTACTTTTATTGCAAAGTCAGATATATAGAGAGAGGAGGAGAGACAGGAAGATCTTCTGTCTGATGATTCACTCCCCAAGTGAGCACAACGGCCGATGCTATGCCAGTCCGAAGCCAGGAGCCCCTCCCGGGTCTCCCACACAGGTGCAGGGTCCCAAAGCTTTGGGCCATCCTCGACTGCTTTCCCAGGCCACAGGCAGGGAGCTGGATGGGAAGTGGAGCTGCCGGGATTAGAACTGGCGCCCATATGGGATGCTGACATTGTAACAGGTAGGCCCCTACTTAGTGGATCTTGAAACGAAAAGTCTTGGTTTAATATTGTCAGAGGTTTATCCTTTTAATGAATTAGTCATTTATTTTGAGAGAAATGGACAGCTCTTTTATCCACTACTTCATTCCCAAAAGGGCCACAGTGACCAGTACTGGGCCGGGTTAAAGCCAGGAGCCCTGACGTGTGGTTTTCCCACATATGTGGAAGCGGTCCAGACACTTGGGCCGTCTTCCACTGCGTCTCTCAGATCATTAGCAGGGAGCAAGGTGAGAAGTGGAGCAGGTGGGACACGAACCAGTGCCGACTTCACAGCCAGTCGCTCTTCTGTTTGCCAACATGTCAGCCATTTTTTTTTTAATCAGTATTTTTACTTATACTTTTTAAAGGAATCTTTCACAAACCTAATGTGAAGATATTAAGGTTGTATGTTTTTCATTTATGTCTAAATCCTTCTGCAGTTGATTTCTTTATTCATAAAGTATAACATCCTTTTTTAAAAATATATTTATTTATTTATTGCAAAGTCAGATATACAGAGAGAAAGAGAGGAAGATCTTCCATCCGATGATTCACTCCCCAAGTGATTGCAACGGCCGATGCTATGCCGATCCTAAGCCAGGATCCAGGAACTTCTTCCGGGTCTCCCACACAGGTGCAGGGTCCCAAAGCTTTTGGCTGTCCTTGACTGCTTTCCCAGGCCACAAGCAGGGAGCTGGATGGGAAGTGGAGCTTCCAGGATTAGAACCGGCGCCCACATGGGATCCCGGTGTGTTCAAGGAGAGGACTTTAACCACTAGGCCACACCGCCGGGCCCTATAACATCCTTTTTAAAGTAAATAACTTTTCCAGCCTTTGAAAAGGTCTTTCTTCAATAACCAAACATTATAGTTCAAATCATACATGAGTCAATTACTGGATTCCTTTTCTTCTGCTTCCTGTTGGTTGTCTGTGGCTCGGCCAGCACCGTATCATCCTCACTTTGCTGTAGCTTTTTGGCACATCCCAACAGCTGGTGGAGCAAGTCCTCCATCTGTTTTTAAAAGTATCCTGGCTGATTTTAAACTTTTGTGTATAAACAGTCATAACCTCTGTAGATAGCTTTTCCTGCTTTGTAAACTTTATGGCACATATATCTCAAACCTTCATTGGCTGGAAAATTTGATATGAAGATAGTAATAGAGAACTTTTTGTTTTTTTTTTGGTGTTTGCATTTAGAGTTGTGGTAAAATGGGGCTTTGCTTTTTCCTTTTTGTAAAACACTGGGATGTTGGCTTCAGTTACGCTGATTTAAGAGGAGAACATGGGAATTACTCTTGCTCCTGTCTGGACAGGTTCATGTGGAATGGTTATAATCTGTCCACCCTTCAAAAATTGGGTAGACCCCACCTATGAAATCATTTCTTTCCTTGGATGGACTGGTTTTAACTGCTGGTTTGATTTTCTTGTGTGTTTTTATAGCCGTATGCTTTGTAACTTCTTTTTTGGGGTCAGCAGAGCTTTTTTAAGAATGCAATTTAATTTATTTTAAAATGTTATGGAGTGGGTAGGGAGAGAATCTTCCATCTGCCAGTTTACTCCTTAGATGGCTACAGTAGGCTCTACCAGACCGAAGCCAGGAGCCAGAAGAATGTTCTGGTCTTACACATGGACCCAAGAGCCCAGGCACTCGAGCTGCCTTCTACTGCTTTTCCAGGAGCATTACGAGGGAACTGATCAGAACTAGAACAGCTGGGAGTCAAACTGATACCCGTATGAGTTGTTGGCACTGCAGGCAGAGGTTTCACCTACTGTGTCACAACACCAGTCCCTATATTTTTAGTTTTGGTTTTGGTTATAATGTGGCTCTGGCTTCTCTTGATAAGTTTTGCTGAATGTTACGTAGTTTGTTAATTTTTTTTTTTTCAACTAACTGACTTTGGCTCATGTATGTTTTCCATTTCATTAACTTCTTCTCCCATCAGTTTCATCAAGAGAATAAATCTGTTTTCCACTATTTGTTGTAGATTCTGGTGGCTCTATTCTCATTGTTGCCCAGTTCCTGATTTTTTTTTTAACTTAAGAAGGCATTATTGTAGTCAAAATTTGGTTGGAATCAGCCAAGATGTCCATCATCAGATCAATGGATAAGGAAAATGTGGTACATATACACAATGGAATATTATTCAGCTTTAAAAAAATGAAATTCTGCCATTTGCATCAAAATGAATGCAACTGGAGGAAATTATATTGGGTAAAATAAGCTCAACACAGAAAGACAAATACTGCATGTTCTGCCTTATATATAGAAGTTAACATTTGGGCCTGCCTGGTGTGGTAACCTAGTGGCTAAAGTACTTGCCTTGCATGAACTGGGGTCCTGTATGGCTTCTGGTTTGTATCCCGGCTGCTCTGCTTCTCATCTAGCTCCTTGCTTGTGACCTGGGAAAGAAGTCAAGGCTAGCCCAAAGTCTTGAGATCCTGCACCCACATGGGAGACCCAGAATAAGTTCCTGGCACCTGGCTTCAGATCAGCTCAGTTCCAGCCATTGGGGCCACTTTGCGAGTGTGAACCAGAAGATGGAAGATCTTTCTCTCTGTATCTCCTCTCTCTAAATCTGCCCTTCTAATAAAAATAAATCTTAAAAAGAAAAAACAAAACTGAAAGTTACATAAAAGAAAAAAATTGGTATGGCTAAAAATAGTTCTGTGAAACTTTTATACGTTTGTCAAAACTAGTTAAAAATGTTATATTACTATTTTTAATGATCTTATTACTTGAAAATTTACTGTATGGGTGAAATTGTCATTTTTTTCGTTCATTTTTTCTTAGCTGTCATCCATACTCCCAGTAAACTAGAATTGTTTTGCTTTTTACTTGTTAGACTTTTTCTTTGGTGGAGCAGTAAGCCTTTTTACTGTAATGTAGATTTAATAATATCTTATAAGCCAATAAAGAAGGAAGAGGGTAGGTCTCTGGTTAGAATTCTTTCTTTTCCTTTCAGTTCTAGTTTAATTTCCAGTTTGCTTTTCTAAGAGTGTTAAAATTTTTCATAGCCTAGTCTCTTTTTTTCCTTTTCTCTTTGTCCTCACTTTTATACTTGTAAAAGAACTATTCTTTCCCATGTCTGACAAATATGAGAATATACATGTGATCCACTCGGGATGTTTTTAACCTCAAAAACACAAATCATCTTGTTCCAAAACAGGCATTGACTGAACGTCTGGATGCTGTTCTTCTGGAAAAAGCTGAGAGTGAGCAGCAGTGTCTTTCTCTGAAGAAGGAAAATGTTAAAATGAAGCAAGAAGTTGAGGTAACACCTTCAAACACATCTAATTGTATTTCAACATCTCATGAGCAAAAACAAGCAGAAATTGGGATTTTACAAGAAAAGTAACCGAAGAGTGGGCAGGTGGCACAGTGATTGTGAAGCCCACACCGCATATTCAACGATTTTCTGGAACTCCAACCACTTGCTGCCTGTCTGACCTCTTGCTAGTTTACACTCTGAAATACAACAAGAAGCACAAATACTTGGGTCTGTAGCATCCACATATGAAATGTGAATTAAGTTGCAGGCTGCTGGCTTTGGTCTAGTCCGTTCCTGGCTGTTGGAGTCACTTGGAATATAAACCAGTGGCTGTGAGATCTCTCTGTCCATTTCTGCCTTTTCAATAAGATAAAAATATATATTTTTTTAAGTAAGAAGAAAAGTAGGCGAAATCACTCAACGACACAGGGACAATGCTAACATTTACAGTCTTCCTTAAAGCTGTGATCAGTCTTTCTTTAGTGAAAGTTCAGGGGGAGTTGACTTTCACACAGAACTCTAAATCCTAGTACCTATTCAGTTCAAGAATGTTCCGTATCATCTTTTGTGCCTGGTGGATGTGGGCTAATTTTTTAAAGTCCCTATTTATTTACTCAGGAGCTGCTACAGGTTTTATGAGTAGAATACCTATATAATTTTGCCTTATAAAATAAAATTCAGGGATTTTTTTAGTTGTGACTTACTGTTTGGAGAGATAGCTTAAGGAAGGCGGAGCCTGAGCGTCGTTCTTAGGATCTCACTGTCATGTTTCTGCAGGATTGCTTTTGCTCATCCCTTTTTTTCAGTTGTTAGCCTGTGACTGATATTTTTCCAAGGACAAGGCTTTTTGTCTAACTTTCATTTATGTGTATTTTGGAATAGGATTCCATAAGTAAGACTGAAGACATACAGAAGGAATTTGAACAGTCGCACAGACACTATGTGAAAGAAATTGAAAATTTGAAAAATGAATTGTTGACAGTACATTCCCAACACAGTGAAGATAAAGCTAGATTGCAAAAAGAACTGGAAGAAGCACTGAAGAAACAGTTAGAACTTTCAGAACAACTTCAAGTTCAACAAGACGCTGAAGATAATGTTAAGAAACTCCAAGAGGAAATTCAGAAAATGAGACCAGCCTTTGAAGAACAAATTTTATATTGGCAGAAGCAGTTAGAAGTTACCACTGATGAAAAACAGCAAGAAATTAGTCATCTCCAAAAAGTCATTGTGTCTAATTCCCAAGACTATCAAAAAGATGTAACTAGTTTGCAGAAAGAACTTTCCCAGTTAAAAGCGACATACCAAGAAGAGGTGAAAAAATTGGCTTGCCAAATTGAGGCGTCAGCTAAAGAGCATGAATTAGAAATAAGTAGGTTAACCCAGCTAAATGAAAACTTAGCGAAGCAGTGTGAGGCGAGTGAGGATATTAAGGAGAAGTATGAATACGAATTAGAAAACTTAAAGAAAGCTACCTCAAATGCAAACCAGGAAAATCAGATAGATCCTGTGCTCTTGCAAGAAGAAGTTCTCGTGGAACAGGTAGCAAATGAAAAAGTCAGACATTTAGAAGATACCTTAAAAGAATTGGAATCCCAACACAGTATCTTAAAAGATGAGATAACGTATATGAACAATCTTAAGTTAAAACTTGAAATGGATGCCCAACATGTAAAAGATGAGTTTTTTCATGAACGGGAAGACTTAGAGTTTAAAATTAATGAGCTATTACTAGCTAAAGAAGATCAGGGGTGTGTGATTGAAAAGTTAAAATCTGAGCTAGAAGACTTAAATCAACAGTTTTACCATACCGTGGAACAGCATGACAAAGAAGTCAAGAGTCTCAAAGAACAACATCAAAAAGAAATCTCAGAATTAAATGAGACTTTTTTGTCAAGTTCAGAAAAAGAAAAACTCACATTAATGTTTGAAATACAGGGGCTTAAGGAACAGTGTGAAAAGCTACAGCAAGAAAAGCAAGAAGCCTTCTTAAATTACGAGAGCTTGCGAGAGATCATGGAAATTTTACAAACAGAACTGGGGGAATCCGCTGGAAAAATAAGTCAGGAATTTGAGTCCATGAAGCAGCAGCAAGCATCTGACGTTCATGAGCTTCAACAGAAGCTCAGAACTGCTTTTAATGAGAAAGATGCTCTTCTTGAAACTGTGAATCATCTCAAAGCAGAAAATGAGAAGTTACTGTCTCTACAGGAATTGGTACCCAAACTTGAAAGTACCATAAAGAGCCTGCAGGAGAAGAATGAAACGCACTTAATTAGCCTCAGCCAAAGGGACACCGCGTTACAAGAATTGGAAGCAAAGGTATGCTCTCTTACTGAGGAGAAAGATGATTTCCTAAGTCAAATAACAAGTTCTCATGAAGAGGTGGATCATCTCAAGAACAAATGTGAAAAGGCGGAAAGGCTGGTTGTAGAACTTGAGGAGAAAGTGGGACAAACAACTCGATCCAACAACGAGTTAGAGCAGAAAGTAAATGAACTAACAGGAGACCTAGAGGAGACTTTGAAACAAAAGGACCAACAACTAGAAGAGCTAATGGCTCAGGTTAAAACTCTCTCCGAAAACCAGGCAACGTTGGCCTCGGAAGTGAAGTGTCTTTCGGATGAAAACAGCAGACTAAGTTCAGAAAAGAACCAGTGGAGTAAGGATTTGGAAACTCTTCTGTCTCAAAAAGATTGTATCCTGAAGGAAAATATCAACGAATTCGAAAAGAAGCTTCAGTTAGCGATGGAAGAGCGAGACAATTTAAGCAAATTGCTTGAAAAAGAACAAGATTGGAAGTTGTTTGTCAAAACACAGCTGTGTGGTTTTCTGAAACAGTTGGGGTCAAACATGTCAGAGGAAGATGAAAAACAAGATGCTGAAAGTGTCCTACAGACTGTGGGTGAATCCCTAACAAAATTAAACGAGGAGAAACAAAACTTAACTTCTCAGTACGATGAAAGGATAGCACAGTTAGAAAAAGACATTAAGTGCCTTCAAGAAGAGAATGTTGTTCAATGTGAAGAACTTAAGTCCTTACTAAGAGACCAGGAGCAGGAGAAGATTGTCTTAAGGAGAGAGTTAGAAGAGACCGTGTCAGAAAAGGAATCCCTGCGATCTGAACTTCAAGTGATAAAAAACACCCATGAAAAAACAAGCCTTGAAAACCAGAATCTTGTCATTCAGCTGGAAGAATTGTCTCAGAATTACGCCAAGAGTGAAATCCGCCATGAAAAAGACTCTCTCACAGTGGACCATGAAAACCTGAGGTTGTTACTAGAACAAAAAGAATCTGAATTACGAGATGTGAGAGCAGAACTGAGTTTACTAAAGGTATTATTTGAATCTTATAAATTCAGAATCTTAGCTCTAGTCACAGACTCTTGAAAACAGAAATAATTTTGTATTTTAAAGCCAAAAGTAACCTTAGCAGTAAAACTCAAATGACCCATTTCCAAAAAATACATCAAGTATTTGCTATTGCACTGATTTCTTTTTTTTTTACTTGATCACGTTATGATTTTGAACATAAGATTTAATTATTCAAGGCTTAAGTATTATGGTCATGATTTTCATCTAACCGTGAAAGAAAGTTAAGTCATTCTTGTGTGACGTCACTGTCTTGCACTGTCAGTCAAGTAATTGACCACAATATTTTGCATTAGCTGAAATGGTGGGATTTCCTCAAAAGCGTATGAAAGTGATACACTAAGTATCACTTAATCTTTTCCTTTACACACGTATGTGAAGTTGTGGGTCTCTCTTACTACCCATTGTAGTAGATGCCATATGCATAACAAAGTCAGTATTATCTGCCCCATCACAGGAAGAAAAAGACTGTTGACCAAATTGCTTTTTTAATGAATTCTCTTCGGTAATGATTTTCTCGAGCTCAACATGATGGTCAGTTCATCCTGAGAAAGGAAATGAATTCTGTGTTTTGTTTTTGTTCTCCTTGTAAAATCCAGGATTCTTTAGAGAAAACACCTGTAAAAGATGATCCACATTCTTCAGTGAAAGAGCTGGAAGAAAAAATAGGTAATTATGATTTTGAAAATCTTAGAAAAATTCCTCTTATTGTTACAGTAGCTGGGAAATACAGATGCCAGTTCATATGCTGCTGCATGCTTGCCACTTGCCATCTATTTGCCTTTTCTTTTCAAAAGTTACAATTTATAATAATGGGGGTGGGAAAGTGTTGGTATTCGTTTAACACACTATTTTTCCAAATGTTCTAGACACTGGTGATAAAAATGTAATGAATTAAGGGGCAGACTCTGTGCTCAAAGAGCTTACTGTCAGGAAAGGCTGGTAATGGTGTTAACAGCACAGAAAGTGGCCTGTTTTGAATTATGACAAACGTCAGAAAGCAGAATGGAACCTTCAATTTTGGCATAAAGTTTGGTGTTTTAGCAAGAAGTAACACTATGTCTGTATGTTAACATATATAATACTAAATAACATATTGGGAAGTTCTTAGGAACTGCACCATCATGTGGTGGTATGATGTACACAGGAGTTGATATTTTATGCTTATCTAGTTATTACTCATGACCAACATGGGCTAGCTCTTTTAATCCCATTTGAAAATGGGAAAACACGGGCCCGGCACGATGGCACAGTGGTTAAGGTCCTCACCTTGCACGCCCAGGATCCCATGTGGGCGCCGGTTCTAATCCTGGCGGCCCCGCTTCCCTTCCAGCTCCCTGCCTGTGGCCTGGGAAAGTAGTCGAGGACGGCCCAAAGCTTTGGGACCCTGCACCCGCGTGGGAGACCCGGAAGAGGCTCCTGGCTTCGGATTCGCATAGCATCAGCCGTTGCAATCACTTGGGGAGTGAATAATCGGACGGAAGATCTTCTTCTCTGTCTCTCCTCTCTGTATATCCGCCTTTCCAATAAAAATATAAAATATAAATCTTTTTAAAAAAAAGAAAATGGGAAAACAAAGACTTTAAAATGTTGTGTATAGCGTACCCATGATTCCTCAGTTTGGAAGGGAGGGGAGTTGAAACAGCTTTTAATGACTCCCAATTCTCTGTAGTGTGTATGTAATTGGACCAAGTTAGGAAGCTCAGATGGCAAGATTTAGACAAGTTTAAATACTAATCTGAGTGCAGATGTCGTGTAGCATGCTGTATACAGCTGGAAGCAATGAGAGACCCCAGAGCTAGATAGGAACATTTGTGTGGTTTTTTTTTTTTTTTAAGATTTATTTTATTTTTATTGGAAAGGCGGATATACAGAGAGGAGGAGAGACAGAGAGGAAGATCTTCCGTCCGATGATTCACTCCCCAAGTGAGCCGCAACGGCCAATGCTATGCAGATCCAAAGCCAGGAGCCTCTCGGGTACAGAGTCCCAAAGCTTTGGGCCGTCCTCGACTGCTTTCCCGAGCCACAAGCAGGTAGCTGGATGGGAAGCGGGGCTGCCGGGATTAGAACTGGCGTCCACATGGGATCCTGTGTGTGCAAGGCGAGGACCTTAAGCACTGCGCCATCGCGTGGGGCCTGATAGAAACATTTGTTAAGGAGTGGGTATCACCAAGAGTGTAGAAAAGATGAGAAGCGCAGACAGTTCTGTCCTTTAGACAAGATAATCACAACAAGGACAATTGAGAAAAAAGACAAACTGCTTCATCCTGGCAAGTGCTCCTGAGGGGATTGATTGGTTCAGGTGAATGCCAAGCCCTGAGCATCAGCTTAGACCCGGGTCAGTGCCTGACTCTGAGCCAGAGCCTAATGGAATTTCAGAAACCAAAGGGGGAGAGACGTTTCAGAGCTTGCATCGACGACTGTTGCAAAGAAATCTGCCGTAAAAGAGATGGCCCCAAATTGAGAGAGGAGGGTTTATTTTCTCTGGGGGAAAAAGACAGCGGCATGTATGAGAAGTGTCACTCATCCTTGTCATCTCTTCCTTCCTGCCTTCGCTTGCCACTGTCTGTGCCTGACCTTGAGTTTTCCGTGTTACGTTCCCTGCTGCCTGTTTATGAACTACTGGGAAAGTCACTTCAAGAGGGAAAGGAAGGGCAATTCCTCCTTCGCCGCTGGAAGGCGAGGAGGGTGGGAGGAATTGCAGAACACGCGCAGTTCGGCTGTAGGCACTAGCAGACTGACAGGCAAGGACAGCAATTCAAATCCTAAGAGTACCAAGTAGTCAAGTCCTCAACACTGGCATTTAACCAGGGAGCTAGTTCAGAAGGCTCCTGTATGCGTAAAACATTTTGTTGTAAAACTCAGGCTCCCCAACCAAAGATGTGGCATTTTAGCTACATGTGATATGTACTTGATCTCAATTTGCAGACTGCCACCTAAGCCGTTACAGATAGGCCTTGCTGGACATCTTCACAGTAGAGGAGTCCTAGCAATGTCTCGAATTCCCAGATACTCATCAACTGACCTACAAAAACAAGAACATTCATTAAAAAATAGAACTATTTCCTTGTTTTCCCCACATAAGAATATTTAAGCTTTTACTTTTAAAAAGATGCTATGTGAGCCAGGATTGTGGTGCAGTGCGTTGAGCCCCCGCCTTCAGTGCCAGCCACACATATCAAGAGTGCTGGTTCACGTCCCAGCTCCTCCTCTGCTTCCAGTCGAGCTCCCTAAGAATGGTCCTGGAAGCAGAAGAAGATGGCCCAAGTGCTCGAACACATCTGGGAAATCTGAATAGGAGTTGCAGTGTCCTAGCTTCTGCCTCATCTGGCGTTACAGCCGGTGGAAGAGCAAAGCAACAGGTGGAAGATCTTCCTCTGTTCTTTCCTTTCGCTCTCCTTCCCTTTCAAATAAGTAAATAGGTAAATCTTTACCCAGCAATTTCTTTTGCTACTTGCTCTGGTTTAGATTGTTTCCAAAGTAAAAAATCAGCTAAACGAAGCAAGTAATTTGATTGTTTTCCTACTTTTAGCCTCACCAGCAAGTTAATAAAGTTCATAGAAAAACGGAATGAAATGATAGTTTTGGTGCAAAAAATTTCAAAGGGTTCGTGAAAAATGCACGTTATCAGAAATTACACATGGATTTAACGGGGTTTTTGGAACCCAAATCTGTGTTTTAATTCCATTCCCTTGAACTCTTTGAACTACCACGGAAAAATCCTTTTGTTTGTTTTTAGGAAATCTGGAAAAAGAATCCAAAGAGAAGGAGGAAAAAATAAGCAAGATAAAACTAGTTGCTGTGAAGGCAAAGAAAGAACTGGATTCTAGCAGAAAAGAGGTAAATTTCAGGTCTCTGGTATTTTAGAAACTTGAGAGTTTTTATCGCCTTGAAAGCTTACCTTTACCACGTGTTTGAAACAGGCCCAGAATCTAAAGGAAGAGCTGGAATCCCTTCGAGCTGAGAGGGATCAGTTGTCTGCTTCTGTGAGAGATCTCATCCAAGGAGCAGAAAGCTATAAGGTAAAGCAGTCATCTTAACAGCAAGTTACGTTGGTCACATAGCAGAATGATGGAATGATGACTGGCCCTGAAGGGCAGCACTAGTGCAATGTTACAGGAATAGAAGGGGAATCTCTGAGCCTAAGGAACTATGTCATGAAAAGTCAAAATGTTTATCTATTTCATGATACTTCTTACCTGCTGAATGCTTAATAATTTGCCACATTTAAGCCTTTCTCTTCTCGAAGAACCTTTTATTAGAATATGACAAGCAGTCCGAGGAGTTGGATGTGGAAAAAGAACGGACTAAAAATTTCGAACAGCTTGCAGAAGACCTCACAAAGCAATTAAGAAATTCAACTTTTCAGGTAATTTTACACTGACTAGGTCCAGACATGACATCTTCAATCTGTGTGTTGTAACATCAGTGCCGTTGCCTAGAGGTTCCCAGCGGCGGTGGATGACTGGGGCCTGGTGGGCACAGCCTTGGGGCTGGGACCAGGGGCCAGTGCTAATGCTGCCTGACAGTTGGCCAAGCCTGTGTGGCTGCAAGGCTAAGCCCCAGTTGTCTGAAAAAGTAAATAAATGAACAGGTATTAACAATAGGTGGAATAGTCATATGCAATTAATAAGTATATTCCTCCCCACTGTTGAGAGAATTTAACAAACCGGAAAGTCACAGTCCAGCGTAGTCCTGGAATCTTATAAAATGTGGCATGCATATATCAATCACAATAGATTTTTTCCATTCATTCTTTATCTGACGTTGTCGCTCCGTGGAACTGATTTTGAAGTCTGTTTTGCGAGCAGTGGCAATGTTCTTATTACGTTGATTCTTCCTCTCCTCTGTGTATTTCCTGCATTAATGAATCTTTGTCCTTTCAGTGTGAAAAACTAAAATCAGATAATGAAGACCTCCTGGCTCGTATTGAAACACTCCACTCTAATGCGAAGTTATTAGAAGCACAGATATTGGAAGTCCAGAAGGCCAAAGCAGTGGTAGACAAAGAATTGGAAGCAGAAAAGCTTCAGAAGGAGCGGAAGATAAAGGTAAAACCAGCCCGTGAGCTGGACACCTGTGAAGGGTGGTGATGTGATGGGAATATTCAAAGGAAGGTCGGTGCATCCAGCAGAGTGCGTGTCACTCCTTAAACTCTTGGCGACTTTGAAACGTCAAGCAATGACGCTGGACCATAATGCTTTACATGAGAGACTATCAACCTTTTGATATGTCACTGTGTTGGTCGTGTTGTATAGCCCTCTACAAATCCTTTTTTAATGTTGCCTGTGTTCTTACCATTTTTCATTTTAGGAGCATACTAGTACTGTGAATGAACTTGAAGAGCTTCAGCTGCAACTTCAAGCAGAAAAGAAACAACTCCAGAAAACCATGCAGGAATTAGAGCTAGTTAAAAAGGTAAGATAGCAAGGTCCGTATTCACATTGTTAAACTAGACGTGTAAGAAAGGGCTAAATGTCATTTGTGGTCGTTAAGTAAGCTTTTAGCCTCAGCAAAGTGAAAATTTAGCTCAACTGCTTGTCTTAGGATTCCGCTTGATGAATTTTTAGACTTTGATCTCACATTTTTTTCATTGTCTGTGTATAATTGTTGCATGGGGGAAAAAGGAACATTTGGGGAACCCTACACAATGACTTAATTGACTGATCCTCCACTCACTAACACTGGCATCCCATATGGGTGCCAGTTCATGTCCCAGCTGCTTCACTTCCTAGCTGCCTCCTGCTTAGTGCCTGGAAAAGCAGCAGAGGATAGCCGAAAGCTTTGCACCCTGCCCCGTGAGGGCGACGAAGAAGTCACTCCCAGATCCTGGCTTTGGGTTAGCTCAGCCCTAGGCATTGTAGACATTTGGGGAAAGAAACAGTGGATGGAAGATCTTTCTTTTTGTAGCTCTTTTCTGTCCATAAAGCTATCATTCCAATAAAAAAAAAATAATAATTTTTTTTTAAATTTTTTGATTAATATCTGAAGTTAATGTCAAAGATTGGGAGATTTGACCGATTTTTTTTGACCTTCCCAAAGAATCAGCTCAAATGAAAGACACTATAAAAGCAGCTTAAAATATTAATAGCCTGAGGAGGATTGCAATATAGTCAGTTCATGTGCTAGTTGCAGTGCCAAAAGCACAAACTGGAGTGCTGATTGGAGTCCCAGCTACTCTGCTTCTGATCCAGCTTCCTGCCAGTGTGCCTAGGATGGCAGCAGATGAACCCAGATTCTTCAGCCCGTGCCACTACTGTGGAAGACCGGGACCAGAATTCCCAGCTCCTAGCTTTGATCTGCCGTGGACCTGGACGTGGCTGCCATCTGGGGAGGATACTAACAGAAGGAAGATTGTTCCATCAGTTGATCTCACTGTCTCTTTCTGTTACCTTGCCTTTCAAAATAGATTTTTTTTAAAGAAAGTAATTAATTAATGGAAGTTATCATGAAATACATTATGGGCAGGCATGGATGGCTCAACTGGTTAATCGTCCGCTCACAAGCACCCATGTCCCGTATGGACACCAGTTTGTGTTCCAACTGCTTCACTTCCAATCCAGCTCCCTGCTTATGGCCTGGAAAAAACAGTGGAAGATGGTTGAAAGCCTTGGGACCCTACACCTGCGTGAGAGTCCCAAAAGAAGCTCTTTCTCTCTTGTCTCTGTCTGTAAAAATCTGCATCTTCAAAAAGAAATATTTTTTTTAAAAAAATGCAGTTAAAACAACTTGATGAAATTAAAAAGTTGTTTTCACTGCTGTGCGTCGTACTTTCAGATTGCAGAAAAGCTTAACAGAACCTGCTCACTCCTGTGGTATCATTGTTAAATGTTTGCAAAGGAAATTAACTGACCAAATATGAACTGTTTTCATCTACAAAACATACAGGATGCCCAGCAAACCACATTAATGAATATGGAAATCGCTGATTATGAGCGCTTGATGAAAGAACTGAATCAAAAGTTGACAAATAAAAACAGTGAAATAGAAGACTTGGAGCAAGAAATAAAAATTCAAAAACAGAAGCAAGAAACCTTACAGGAAGAAATGAGTGAGTAGACCTACATTGTTTTTTGGTGATTATTTCGTCGTGGCAGAACGGGAGGAGGGGCTGGTGACACGCATTAGCTGTGGCTGTCACCAGGTTCTGCTGCCAGGCGGGTGTTTGTTCCCGAGGGCCAGGAACAGTGTGAACGCATTTGCCATTACCAAGTTTACGGTCCAAAGAAAGCAGTGGGTGGTTCACGTTGATGGAGACACGTTCGTTCTGTTAAACACTTGTCGTTTGAGCAATAAGCAAAGAGAAAATGGTCTTTGCCAGCAATTCATGAACGTTGGGAAAATTTTCAAGTAGGAGAGAAACATTTGTTTATTAAATGATTCTATTCTGTTTTACCCACAAATTTTTTTTTCTAATCTTAGCATCTAAAGATACAAATTTCCCTATAGACACTCTATATCACAAATTGATACGTTGCGTCCTTCATTGATGTTGTTTTCCTATTTTAATTTTTGAAGTTTGCTTTATGAGGTTTCCTTTTTTGTGTTTTTGTGTTTTGGTACATGGATTAATTAGAAATACATTGTGTAAAATATCTGTTAATGACTTCTATTTTCCCTTGGCTGTTGGAGACTACAGTCTGTATGCTCTTTGAAATTAATTTGAGTCTTGTCTTATAGCCTAATACATCTACAAAGTATTCTTCCAGGTAGCACAGAATTGAGTCTTGATTTTCTCTTCAGCCCAATCATTTCTGCCGTCTAATTAAAATATGTAATCTGTGTATTTGACATGATTATTTCTGTGATTAGATTTAAATCTACCTCCTTGCTGATTGTGTCCTGTTTTGTCTAATTCCTTTTTATTTTTTCTACTTTTCTGGAATTTGTTGTTTTATATGTTGCCCTTTTATCTCTTATAAGGTTATTAGTAATTCTTGGCTAGCTTTTATTTTATTTATTAGGATTTTCAATATACTCATTGAGTCTATCACACGTTACTTTCAGATAAATTGTAGCCCTTCTTAAATGTAGTGAAAGAATTTCAAGCTAACATACTTTGGTTTTTTTTGTTTTGTTTTGTTTTTTGATTTTTGATTTTTTTTTTCATTTTATGACACAGTTTTTTTTTAAAAGATGTAATTTTTTTTTTAAGATTTATTTTATTTTTATTGGAAAGGTAGATATAGAGAGAGGAGAGACAGAGAGGAAGATCTTCCGTCCGATGATTCACTCCCCAAGTGAGCGCAACGGCCGATGCTATGCCGGTCCGAAGCCAGGAGCCTCTCCGGGCCTCCCACGTGAGTGTAGGGTCCCAAAGCTTTGGGCCGTCCTCAACTGCTTTCCCAGGCCACAAGCAGGGAGCTGGAAGGGAAGCGGGGCCGCCAGGATTAGAACCGGCGCCCATATGGGATCCCAGGCATGCAAGGCGAGGACCCCAACCACTGCGCCACCGCACCGGGCCCATGACACAGTTTTATAGGCTCTGGGATTCGCCCAGCCCCTCGAAAAAGTCCTCCCCCATATTGAATGCCTCCATATTGTTACAGTAGTACATATTAATATCCGGTCATGATTCCTTCATTGCAAGCATGGACCATGCAGAGTCCAGCATCTTATGTCCAGATAAATTCAACAGTTTCACTGGGTGACCATCCTTGGTCTGAAAGTAGAGCTAGCAGAATATCAACTCCTTCGATGAAAAGCCACTGCACAACTTCAACAACAACTTACAACATCATGAAGTTAATTGACATGGTACTGAGTGACTAATATGTTAGAAAATGCAAGTTATTAACCACAGCCTGTAACTACTTCATTGACATTTGCATCTTAGTTTATACACAACCGGCTGCTATACACCTAAAAATGATTGTACGGTACTATTTACTGTCTCATGTCTATTTTCATTTTTACATTTAGCAGCTTATAGTATTCAGGCATGATTTCTACTGAACTTCGTGAATTTTAGGATAGTCCAAACTGACATAGCTCTAACATGCCATATGGTAACAATTGAGGAGCAGAACAGTTTTAGGAGGGGTGTGCAGAAAAGTCTTCAGTACCTTAGTCAGGAGTAACTGATCTTTGTGTCCTGCCCGGTAAGGTATATGGGAGTCCAACATGACTTTTTCCTGTCTGTCCTAAGCTTTCCTTATTGGTCTCTATCTGATCTATTTGTGGGGAGGGTCTCCAAAGTGACCCTGATGGTCATTGCCAAAGATGGTGGGAGCCAAGGTTGGTACTAAGTAAGGACCAGAGAAAGCTCCCCTCCTGAGTCCCAATGGAAGTTTACTGTTCTCTGTTTCTGAGGACCGCTAGGGCTCCTGGCTGTTGTTCTGATGACGTTAGATCCTGTGAGGAAGGATCTGGGCTTCTTCCATCTCGTGTGGAGATCTGATAGGGAACAATTGACCTCAGAGTTCTTGGCCTGCAAAGGCTCTCCAATTCCCTGTGGTCTCATTGGCAGATGGGATGTAGTCCTTTGTGCTTGTACTGGTAGTCCTTGGTGAGGATCTGGGAGTCTCCAGGGTTGGGATACAAACCTCCTCCTGTCCTCCTGCTCCACTCTGGGGTCCCCCCTGCTCTGTGCATATGACCTCCTGTTAAGGGGCTGTCTGGGTCGCTCTTGGATCCCACTGTATGTCTTTATAGTTTTGCTAATGTCTAATGCAGATTCGAGTCTGCTGTCTATAAGTTACCTGTTACAATCTTGATAGATTATCGTTAACACCTTCCTCACACACCTTCTTAGAATAGAAGGTGGAAGATTTCTCTGTTCTCCCGACCCATTACGGAATAACATAAGGAATTAAAATCATATCAGGCTTTTCAGTTCTTTGATGTAGATCGTAAGCATTCTGTCTCTCATTGATTGTTGGTTCATTGGTTACATCACAGTATCTTATTGCATGTGATATAGGCTGTTTGAGGGTGTAACAATATTACAATTTACAGCTACTATTTTTTGGATTAACATCATTTCATTTTATTTTATGTGCTTTTAAAAAGACTTTACCGAAAATTTCGATATTTAAAAAATATTTAGTCACATGAGATCTCTTCAAAAAGAGTTTGTGAGAAAATGGAAATAAATAATGAGTTTATTTTTAAAAACAGTTACCAAGAGAAAGACTGAGAGAAACAAAGAGGGGATATTTTCCATCCACTAGTTTACTTCTCAAATGATCACAACGGCTCTGCCGATGGAGCCAGCTGCCTGGAATTCCATCTAGGCCTCCCAGGTGGGAAATAGAGACCCAAGCATTTGGTCAATTCTCCATTGCCTTCCCAGACACATTAACCAGCAGCTAAACTGGTTGTGCAACACTAATAAGATGCCAACCCATTGCACCACAATGTATATTTCTTTTTTTGTTTGTTTGTTTTTTTCATTTTTGATAATCTTTACATAGTTAATTAGGGTAAAAAGTTTCAAGGTACACAGTAAAATGGGTGAGACTATTATTTCCATATTGTTTCCTTCATCTATCTGAGGTAAAGAGGGATTTTAAGGGAGAAGCCCCACCCAGGCTCCCACCCACCCCAGGTCCCTGATGTGGGGCAGGCTCCGAGATTCTTGCTCAAGTGGATTTGATAGTTCACTGGTTATGAATCACTGCCAGTCTTGCCACTCTAAGCATTATGAGGTCTTTCAAGAATCCACTGATTGGCATAGTCCATCATAGAGTGTCCGTTTGCCCAATTTTTCACTGCCAACATATAGCTGAGATGGTTGATTGACTTGTTCTGTCCTCTGTGTTTTCATGATTAGGGTTCTGAATCTGGCAGTTCGGTTAGGAGGATCCCCAAAGAATCTTTGTCTAAGGTGTTCTCAGACCAGATTCTTGTATGTTCTAGCAAGCACAGGGCCCAGCACAGTCCATCACCCCAATCAGCTGTTGGTTGCAATTGCTGGTTCTGTCTGCAGCCATGTCCTCCATGGAACCAATGGGTGTTGCAGTCCAGGCTGGTTCTGCCCAGCACACACTTGGCCTTCACATAAACCAGTGGGAGCTGCAGCCTAGTCAGAGTGACCCACAATAACTCCCACCAGGCCTGCCCCCTATCTTGGTTTGCCAGTATGTGCAGTAAACTAGTCCAGTCTGTCCCACACCCCATTCAGCTCTCATACATGTCAATGGGTATTGAAGCCTAGTTCAACCCAACCAGTCCAAGTATGCAGCCCACACACATGCTGTTGGGTGCCTTTCTGTCAAGCCACCTCAGCCCCTGTCCTGGTTTTCGTGCCCTCCCATGGGAGTGGTAACCCAAGAAAGAGGAGCCCACTAATTCCCCTCTAGGCCACTCCCGCTCCCAGATTATGCACTGTCCAGGTGGTTCTGTGGTTTGACTTGACAGAACTAGGCCCCAGTGCCAGCTTCTGCCAGCTGATGCTGCGGCTAAGCCCAAACAACCCTCACCCACTCTTAATTCTGTTTGCACCAGTAGCAACAATCAGCCCAGCCTGGCTTTTCCCTAATCTTGGCCACATGAGGCCCACAGGTGCTGTAGCCTTGCCTAATCTGGTCTTCCCCCATCCCAGCTCACGCTCTCCATTGGGAGTAGCTGTCCAGTAAGGGAACACCACCCTCATTCCCCCTGCCAGCTCTGCCCACTCCCTTCCTGGTTCTCGTGCGTGCTGTTGGGCGCTGTGATCACATCTGGTACAGGTAACCTCACCTTGCATTCTGTATTGTGCACTGGTTTTTGTCGCGACCAAGCCTGACTCCACCCACCCTCTGTTCTTGTGCTCGGATTCACCAGTGGGTGATGTGAACTGATTCAGCCTGGCCTGCCCCTGACCCATGGCGAATGTATGCCAGTGGGAAACTTTCCATGGCCTGTTCTGGGCTGTTTCTTATCATGCTTCTTGCACTTACCTGCAGGGTCTATGTCCTGCCAGAGTAGTTGCCCAGGCTCCTCCATCAGAACCTCTCCCAATGCCAGATTTCGTGCATACCAGGGGGTCCATGAGCCAGCCCTACTCAGTTCACCTCCTGTCTTAGCAGGAACAGTGGCTTTTCCTGACTGGCTTTCAACCCAATCTGG